CTTACATCCATATGATAATCCTCGTGATTCCGCCAAGATAACTTCAAGTGTATCTCTCTCCTTGCTGCTATACTACAACTATTTAAAACTGTAATGACTCATACGCGTGATCAACACGTGATCAGAGCTCGATCCCGGCTGCATTTTAACACTATGGTATAGGGTTCGGCACCAGCCTTAATTTTATTGGTCAATTTCAATTTATTCAACCAATGACAAGCCGGGTGCCGAAATCATTACCGGAATGTTAAACAGTGCTGAAAACAGTGTCAGAATGTTATCAATTTAAATTGCTTCTACTAATATATCGAGTGCTGAAATCACTACCCGAATGTTGAGGATTACCGAAATACAGTTCGGAATTTCGAAGGTCGCCGATGCGTAAGGAAGTTCTTTATCGTTTACGCAGTTTACGTTAGATATTATAACCTCAAAGTTCAAGCGCACGAAGGGCATAATATTGTTTAAACGAATGGAAAATATATTTTTAACCGACTTCCCAAAAGATGGAGGTGTTCAATTCGTCAGCTATATTTTTTTCTATGTGTGTTTACCGATTTTTTCAAGATGGCTTATCCGATTATGATAATTATTTTTTTAAATGAAAGGGTATAAATGCCTCTGGGGTAGTCCCATATTAATTTGATGAAAAAAATATTGACTTCAAAAGAGGAAATCAGTTGATGAAATTATTTTTAAGGCAAACCTGGAGTATTTATGTGTTAATTTAGTTTTTTGGTCGGGGAGGTTGCCTTCATGAGTGACCCGAAAAAAGTAGGGATTACAAGGGGTTGCAAAAGGTTACCGATTGGTCGGCCACCAAAGGAAGAAGGCGCACCAAGAAAAAGAAAAAGAAGCACTCAATGTAAAGCAAAATTTACTGGATGCTAAGTCTCATGGAACAGGTCACTAAAACCTATTACATTATTATTTTGTTAATTTTCGAATTTTCTTTTTTATTTTTGAATATTCTTGTTTTTTGAATTTTCTTGTTTATTTTTGAACGGACCAATAAACATTCACATTTAATATGTTTATTTTCTACTACCTTTTCACGAAAAGTGATAATTTCTTCCCTGAAATGATAAATGCTGTACTTGAATGAGAAAATACACTCTGTGTATAGATATTAGAATTTAGTTTCTTACATTACATGGGAGGAAAATACCACTTTTCCACCCGCGGATTATTTATACAAAAATCCAAAAAAAGTACATGATTTTTTAGATTTTTACATTTCCTTGCATTCTTTTTAAATTCAGTTATTTTCCATATTATATAATTTCAAATTTTTCATGGGATTTTTCTTATTGCTAAACCAAATTATTAATTTTAAAATCATTAAATATCGTAATAGGAAACAACGTGCGTTGATTATTATCTTACGTATTTGTAGCGGAAGGTAAGTAAATTTAAATTTAAATTGATAACATTCTGACCCCATGCTCAGCACTGTTTAACATTCCGGTAGTGATTTCGGCACCCGGCTTGTTATTGGTTGAATAAATTGAAATTGACCAATAAAGTTAAGGCTGGTGCCGAATCCTATACCACAGTGTTAAAATGCATCCCGGCTTCCTTCCAGTACAGCCGTATAGCGTACGACATATGTCGTTTCTGTGGCTTTGCGGTGGTCAACAGCACAGGCAGAGATGGAAATAATGGCTGATTGTTCTCCGCCGGTAGAACCAATGAAATCAAAGACGCGCCTCGACCGGCAGGCTCATAGGCGTCGGCAACGCATTGGAACGTGTTTCGTTGAGCGATCGCATATTGTGTGTTTTTATAAGAATTGTTGTGTGATTGTTATTGTTGTGGTTTCTGTGGTTACTGTTTTGGTTATACTTAACCATGGAGAGTACAATTGGCACGAGTGGAAGTACTGGAAGCCAGGGAACAAGTAGACGGCTTCGTAAAGCACTGAAGAGGGACGCGAAAGAAATCGTGCTCAACGTGTTCAATTATCTGAACGGAACAATGTCGCAGGGAGATGAACTCGCGCGTTGTGAAAGTATGACAGGCGTTCCAGACTGGACCATTCGCAGGGTGGTGCATGAAAAGAAGAAAACTGGAGCTACTACTGATCCAAAGTTTAATTTGAAGGGACGAAAGGCCGTTAAATTGGATGACGATAGCAAAATGGCGTTAAGGCGAACCGTACATTCATTCTTCTTTAGGAATGAGATACCAACCCTCAAGGCTGTACATGCAGCGATCAAGGAAAATGAAATTATACCCCAAATGAGCGTCGAGGTAATGAGGAAATCCCTGCACGAAATTAATTTTCGTTACAAAACGCGTAATCGGAAGTAAGTATTGATAGAGAGACCTGAAATAGTCGCGTGGCGTCGAAAATACCTACGCAAAATGATTGAATATAGGCGACAAAGCAGAAAAATCTATTATTTGGACGAGACATGGGTAAATGCAGGTCACAGAGTTAAAAAAACCTGGATAGACAAAAACGTAGTGAGTAACCGACAAGCAAGCATTGAAGGTTTGTCAACAGGACTTCGTGGACCGTCAGGGAAAGGTCAAAGATTGATCGTAACTCATATTGGTAGCGATAGTGGCTTTTTAGAAGAGTGTGACTTGATTTTCGTCTCTAAGAAAGGAGGTGATTACCATGACGAAATGAATGCCAGCTGCTTCGACAGCTGGTTTCAAGGGGTGCTTCAGCGAGTTGAGCCCAACTCTGTGATCGTCATGGATAATGCTCCCTACCATAGTCGTCGAGCCGAACGTGTACCGACTATGGGATCTCGAAAAAGTGACATGCAGCAATGGTTGCGCGAAAAAGGAATCCCGTTTGACGATTCATGTGTGAAAGCGGAATTGTATGAAAAAATTAAACAGCACAAACCTGCGAACATTAGTTACGTGACTGATGAGATGGCCCGTCAATGTGGTGTCACTGTGCTGCGGTTACCGGCCTACCACTGTGAACTGAACCCAATAGAGCTCATCTGGGCTCAAGTGAAGGGTTATATTGCGCGCCATAACACAACCTTCAAATTACCAGAGTTAAGGTTTTACTTGAGACTTCCATACAGCTAGTAACGCCCGAAGCTTGGCAGAATGCTATCCGTCATGTTGTGAAGGAAGAAACAGAAATGTGGCAGCTTGACCACCACATCGACACCATCATAGAGCCAGTTATAGTCAATTTCAACGAGGAAAGCGATAGCGACAGTTTATTACTGTCAGATGTAAGTGGAAGCGACGATGAATAAAGGTAATTCCCAAATTTTTGACTTACAATATGTTTCAAACCACTCTTTATTAAGCATGTGACAAATCTAGTTCACCCATGTTAAACATTCATACCCCGCCTATGAACAGCCGACTACTGGTAGGTAAGTGATGTTCACGTGAACATCGATGAGTCATTACAGTTTTAGATAGTTATAGTATAGTCTCCATCATCGCCAGCATCGTCAGCATACCCTATCAAGCGGATTCCTGGCAGCATCGTAGAACACGTTCTAAAACAATGACCCTAGGGCGGAGCCCTGCGGCACTTCCACGGTTACCTTCATCGTATTTTGCCCTATCATAAGTTCCCTCTCGTCAAAGTAGCTCTTTGTCATGTTCAATGTCTAGCTTCTCGAGAGATTCGACGTTTTTCTGTCATCGAGCCACGTTAAAGGCATTCCATCGTCAAAATCAACCATAACGCAAAGCTTCATGCAACTGTAGCTGACGCTATCCAATACTTCCGCCAGCCAGTGGCGGCTCGTGGCAAAATAAAACAGGTGTTCTGCAAATCCGAACTTACCTATTTTTTCTATGTCAGTTCGATCCTGCGCTCCTTCTTGGCAGGAAATTTGTCGATCACCTTCCCGTTGAAATTTTCCATGGTCGAAATATATTCCTTTTCAATGGACAGCATCGACAACGCTGTAAGGCAATCCTGAGTCATAGTATTTCGAAGAAAGGTCTTGATTCTTTTTAATGTTGAGAAATTTCGCTCAGCCTCTGATGTTGACATAGGAGTTTTAACAATAACTTCTAATAGCTTTTTTGTTTCGTTTAGTGTTTCCTTCTGTATAAAAAATTTCAAAACGACAGAGTTCCATGTAAATCTCGGCAATCATTCTGTGCATAAATAACAGACAACTCTGTCTTTAAACGACTTTTTTCTAATTCGGGATAAGCCAAGCAAGTAGTTTCCAACTTGTCATCAGGAAACTTACGACAGTGTTCTCCAAAGTGTTCGAGGAAAAAAAGGGATGCGGCTACCGAATGATCTTTAAATTTGCAGAATTCACTATATTGTCGCATACTTCTAATGCGGCAACTCGGTGATCGTGACTGCTATTATTACGTCGTCTCCTTTGGTTGCCTTGGGCTTCAGTGCAAATACTTTTGGCTTCATTTATTATGTCATCAATTTTATTTCTCACATCGACAATAAATTTTTCAAAATTATCGATAGCCGTTTTAACTTGCGCTGGCTCGGTTTTTCTCTTCTGCAACTGGTTGAACAAGGTGTCGACGTGAGGCATGACATGATGAAAAAATGTCAACCAAAACACGAAAACAGAATCGTTTAACATACGGCGAACACCGCAAGCTGCCTTGCAAACGGTTTCATTAGTGAAATTTTCTTCTATTTCTTCCATGCATTCAATGATTGATTCTCTGTTCTCAAACACTACATTTGTTGTTCGAATATTAAAATTCCAACGAGTCGTTGCTCCTTGGGGAATTTTTTCCCCACAATTCTGTTCAGTACCTCTACGCGTTGTTACTTATAGTAGTCGAAGTGCCCCGGTATTTAGGTTTTTGTCTACACGATTGATTTAATGTAAAGAAACAACCTTCGAAGGAAGCCTCCCTCGTGATTATTACTAAGGTTTTAATTTCTCGTTGACGTAATAGGAAATCTATTGACGTTGACAGTACAACAGGTGTCAACGCTGACATCTAGAGACGATGTGAGCAGAAGTAGTTGGGGCCTCACGGCACGTATGAGGGAGGTTGAATGAAACACAAGATTACAAAGTCAAGTCTTTGTATTCGTACAAAACTTGCTCGAAAGACACAAATAGTGGGAAGAATTATAACTAGAATTGTCCTATTTCACAATTACAACATACAGGTAAATATCTATAACACTTGTAAAATATGACAATGGGTATAAATAGATCACAAGGTAGACAGCTGAAGAAGTATACAATCTCTTAACCAGTTTCATAGCACGGTCGTCAACAATACGCTTTTGACACGTAATTTCACTATTTGCAGTGATTCAATCAAATCTAAATGTTACGTTTCCCTCAACAAATATTGCTAAAGGCATGTTTCAGCTAACATTTCAGTTCGATTGCACCTCTGCTATTTATATACATTAACTAGCTAGGGAAGAATCAGGTAACTTCAATAAATACATTTAAAGACTATAATAATATAAACTATTTAATTGGTGTCCAGCTTCATACTTCATAAATGATGTACTTTTTTGGTAACCTAAAAATAAAACAACCATCAAATGACTCGCAATTTATACTTAGGTACATTAGAAAAGCCGACGAGGCGGCCGAAATGTCAATAAAATCTTTTTTCATCATGTTGCATGTTAAGGTAGAAGGAGAAGGAGCGATAGTCAAGGAAACCCCAAATATTCAGTTGCAGCAAAGAATCGAGAGCACAGTTTTTTGGAAATTGTCTTAACATTGAAATCACAGCAAGATAAAGAAAAATGCTAGGTACAGTAAAAGTTTCAGGACAAATTTAATGGATGATAATCCAGAAGGCTAGAAGTACGAGACCCTTTCCACTTCAGTTGGCCCAACTATTGAAATCTTAGTTTTTTTCTTATCAAACACAAATATTAACAATCAATATTTTGATAATATATAGTAGAAAACACCAACTTTATCACTCCTTAATCAAATTTGCAGCATAAAAATAACACATGTTGCAATTACAGCATATCAACCTATTTTCATTTCAATGCAAAATAAGTCTATAACGCATAGGTGGCTGTGAAAAATAAAAGCCATGACAATTGTTTTTATTAATCACAGCTGTCAGAATACGTTTAAAATTCGGTTACTGATAATAATTTTTTTAATTCTGGGAAATCAAACACAGAAATTGCAACTTTGTTAGACTTATCGCGATACAATGTGAGAAATATTTTTAGAAGATATATCGTAACTGGTTCAGTTAATATTAAGCCACGATATGTGAAAAAAAGTAATATCACAAATGCCGACCGAAGAGCATTAAGAAGAATAATCGTGAAAAACAGGCGTGCTAATTATTTACAATTAAGTGCTCTGTGGAGTGACGCTGTTGGAAGGAGAATTTCGAGGTCCACAACTCATAGAGAGGCTCACAAACTGGGATTTAGCACTTGCAAGGTAAGTTTTCTTATAAAAAAAGTGAAGTAAAGACCCTAAAGTTGCAGAACTTGTTTATAGGCCAAAGAAAAGCCACTATTAACTCCACTGCAAAAGAAAAATCGGCTTAGATGGGCTAAAGAACATAGACAATGGACACCTCAACAATGGTGTGCAATACAATGGAGTGATGAGGCCCGATTCGAAGTTTGTGTTGGAGTTATTCACAAAAAAATGAAGCATTTCATGTTGACTGTCTGAAGAGAAAAGTGAAATTTCCAGCATCCATTATGGTCTGGGGCAGTATGTCATCAAAAGGAGTAGGAAAACTTCATTTTATTGATGGAGATGTGGATACAAACAAATATTTGGCAATTTTAGAAGAATCGCTTTTACCAGTAATGGAAGAATGTTTGACATCCGGCCAAGATTTTGTGTTTCATCAAGATGGTGCACCATGCCATACCTCAAAAAAGCCTATAAAATGGATGGAAGAAAATAATGTACCTCTTTTGAGAAGGGGCTACCTGAAACTTTGTGGCACGACATGAAAACGGTTCTACGACAACATCCTGCTCGTACAATCACCGAACTGAGACAAAATCTTCAATAAATATGGGATTGTTTTACACAAAATTTTTGCCAAAACTTGGTTAACACTATGCTCCAAAGAATTTCAGCCGTAATAAAAAATAAAGGTGATGTTACCCAATGGTAATCTTTCAATTGTTGCTTTGTTAACTTCGCGCATTTATTCGCACATTGTTTATTTGTTCAGATGTTCTATTAGTTATAGGTCTAAGTGATTTCAAATATGTATTTTTTACGACTAGAGTGTATCTAAAATGTTTTTGAGAAAATAAATTGTTTTAGAAGTAAATAGTTTCGTCATGATTAGTTTATAAAGGCATATTTTGGTAAAAATCTTGAAGTGGGAAGGGGCTCGTAGATGGCGCTAGTTAGGCTGGAGGTCATATCCAAGGTTATAAACAGACCAATATGTTAATTGCTAATTAGCTGTTCACGTCAGTTGACGTCAAAACGTGATGATGGTGAAATTATTGAGTTACCTACTCGTACTGCTGTCAAATGTCTGTCGTAGTCCATACTGCTAGTTAATTTGTATGAATTTATTTGAATAATGTTCCTTGGTACTAACAAAACGGAAGCTTAGACCTTTTTCACTCCGAGAACTGAGGTGTATTGCTCGATCTAGACTTCCACATGTGCCGAAACTGGACCGAATTTATTATACTCTTTTTCAAATTCCTTTACCTATTCAACCGAAATTGTACACTCCTTGTTATATAATGTACTCATTTTACGAGCAGATTTAGACAACTATTAGATAACTAGCGTTAATGCAATCGGTTTTCATGGACTAATGAACACTTGTTCTCAATTGAGAGAAAATGCATAAATTGAGATGTCCAACACATAATCTGTGAGTCAATTGGTCATTTCAATTATAGGCGTTTGACTTGAAAAATAGTACTTCCAGTACATTAGCATAATTGGGTGTCATTACAACAAAAGAGTGCTTCCAAAGTAACAGAAATATTTTATCACTGTTTCTCTTCATGTGCACGTAATAAGGAAAGAGATTTATTCGCATTAGTCGCAAGATTGTATTACATAAACATCGAGTAAATCTGAGATTATGTAACGATTCTTCAATACCGAAATACGAATCATATGCAGATTTTTATTGTGTCATTCGACGATTAGTAGTACACTGCAGAAGACCTCTGACTTTTGAATGTTTTCCAACACGACCCACAAAAAATCGATTGCTACTAATACGTAATTTTTCAGCTATAACCCATTGCTGAAGGACATCATTAGAAGGTGAACATCATTTATCACCGTCATTGGAATGCGTCGTAATTAAATGATACATGATGTAGCAGTGGGGTTTGCCTGTAAGATCTCTTTAAGATAAGGTCTCTGATGCTTGTAGTACTGTTTCAAAACCGTATAATTTTTATTGGTCCGTTTCATAAATTAATTTTACGATTCGATGAAGAAAAGTTCAAATAGTTCGTATGTTTGCAACGGATTAAAGTCTTTGAAACTGCATCAAGCGGTACCGTTCTTTATTCTTGGTCCTCCGGTATCTCAATATGCTTTTTCCTCATCATATTTTAGTTGGAAATTTCATAACCAATATTTTTTCCTAAATGTACGCGCTCCTTGTTGTTACTTCTGATTGAACTGGTTAATTCTACTTGAAAATATCTCTCTTTTGTATCATCTTTGACGCTATGTTCTGAGTTGATATTGTAAAAATGTGGCAGTTAGTTATTGACCGGTAAATCATCAAGAAAAATATCTTATACCTATTTCGGGAATAATGACGTTTCATGCTGTTATATTTTACTACACAATTCTGTACGAATTACTTGTTCAAAAAAGAAAACTACTATCGTCTTTGAAAACAAGACTGATACGAATTAGACATATTGATCTTGAAATCAAAGGAGGTTACCAAATGGTTTTAAATGTAAGGTATAACGTTTTTTTGTTTTAATTTTTTTTATATATCTGCATATATCGAAGCAGCCGCGCAGGCAGAAGCCTAAATCCCGGAACAGCGCGGCTACCATGAAGATCCCAAAGAAATTTTGTTCATACGATTTTTGAACTGCCTAAGGTTCGTAGAACTGAGAAAAGCTTCCTCTTGTAGATTGTTCCACAATCTCGATACACTCGGGACAAAGGAGCGGTCCTTTCGGCTAGTTATGGATTTACTTCTAAGAGGCATCAAAAAATCAGTCCTACAGCCTCTTTTAATTTTACTTACGATTTGATACTTCCGCGTAACAGACGGTCAGCGCCACCGAGTGTTGTCAAGCTCGCTCAGCTACGCGCTGCCAGAGTGCATCCGTTCATGATTGGCCAGCGATTGAACCACTCATCTCAAGCTTGTACGAATGGGAGATGAGCCTAGCTGGAGATGAGCCGAATGTACTCTAGCAGCGCGTAGCTGAGCGAGTCTGAGTGCACTCGGTGCCGCTGACCATCTGTTCCGCGGAGGTTTCGCTTTGTGAAGCTCACATGCTTAAATAAATATGTATCTAATCACTGAATGTTGGATAATAGCGCCACCCGGCGGGTATTGACCGGAAATGTTTGTGGTTGTTGAAAATAAAGGATATTCAATCGATTTGAGGGTGGGAACAATTTGAATGTCAAGCTGACAAATCTCTTTTGTTCTGACAAATAATGATAGTTATGCCTTTGCCAGGTCTATATGAAACGTATTTTACGCCTGTCAGTCCGATTAGGGTTCCCTTTTTCTCCAACGCGTGCGCAGCAATCTATTCAGTCCTCCCCCCTCCATTATTCTCATCGCTTCTAGCGAATTATTTAATTAACTTTTCAACGGAGCACTTTTAAGACTTTTTATATCCTCCAGCTAATTTCGTTTTGTGAAATCAATGATCAAGTATGTATTTATGTGTCAATTAATTGGTTTCAGATCAGTTAAGTTTGTCAAACGCGTGTATTTAGATCATAATGTAAGGTATCATGTAATTCGCCGAATGCACAATAAGTAAGACCCCAGTGTGTGGTGACGTCTGAGAAACGTACTATGAAATCGGCTTCCCAAAAGCAACACTTTTAATGAACACAATGCAGTGCGATTGAGTCCTCCTATATGTAGTAAATAACACAACTATCACTTTTCTAAAAAATCCATTTTCTAAAACAGTTTGGTATTTTGGGAAATCCTATTTTTCAAGTAAGTTTCCAATCAAATAGCGTATTCTAGAGCTTATAAAATTTATACACGTAAGGTAAAAGTTACTCATCTTTGTACCATTTACCTCGTCAAATGTTATCGAGTCGTATAGAAAACACATCCAGAAATTACAAAAAGTATTTAATATAAACCTATAGTCTGAAACATCCCACTAACAAGGTTCAAGGGTTCTATGCCCTCTGATGATACCGATCAGGACAGAACATTTCTCTTGTTCAGATAATGCTATGGTGAGAGAGAATTATTCACCTATTTCAGTATTTACATTTTGAATAAACTAGGGTCGGTGTATTTTCAGGGTGGAACGTGTGAAATAGTCTAACCAATTCTCGTCCAAAAGATGCGGTCTAAATTCCCCAACAAAGGCAAAATGACTTGTTCAAAATGTTTATAATTGTCTCAAAAAGGTTAGTGTGGTAGAGCATAACTTTCCTTTTTCTTACGTAGGGGAGTGCATCAATAACGATTCTCCACTGCGACTCTTTGGTCTATTATGGCTCACACCCATTTATATTTCCCCCAGTAGCCCCGATCACATGAGGAAGTCAATCAACTTGTTTGTTCCTCGGCAATTGAAGGGCATCTGCACAATGCATGCCTGACCGTTTCATCTTCCTCCATTTACAGTCTGCACTCAGCGTCCTCCGCCATGTCCAACCTGCTCATGTGGTGACGCAATTTGCAATGACCAATGTACAGTCCTACTAGACCTTTAAGGCTATTCCTGTTCAGCAGTAGCAAAGAGTCTGTTACCTTCTTTGTCAAGGTTGGTATAGTTGCCTTGGCATAGGTTAAGCCTGCTAATCCCTCCCAGTATTGATAGATCTTTCTGTCCATCTCTGCAGAGATTATTTGTTTAGCCGTATTGTATGCGATCCCAATCGCTGGCCCAGACCCTATGACGGGTGTGCTAGTCCCACTCTTTGCCAGAGTGTCAGCTCTAGAGCTGAGTGTCCTGGTATTCATATGAGATGGACCATATCCCTCCTCTATGCCACCAAGAGCTTCTTTGCAATTCCATACTAATTTCGATGTCGAGTAGGTGAAGTCAAGTGCTTTAAGTGCGGCTTGACTATCTGAAAAAATAATTATAGTTCTGTGTCTCAGTTGTCGTTATGCGATCATTCTGGCACACAGTTCTATAGCATATAGCTCTTTGCCTGGAAGATCGTGTTCCTAGGCTAACAGATTTATTAATCTTTAGTTTCAGCACGAAGATACCAGCTCCAACACCCACCGCGGTCTTGTAGCCATCTGTGTATGCACAGATATCTTTCCTTATCAGGTTAACTTGCTGTTCCAACTCATTCCTATGTCGAATTGTCACTGAGTGGTGTTTAGCATATCTTGTTATCTTTGGCATTATATCAGAAGGCATTCCTAGACTAGTGTGGATTTGTAAGTTCATCAGCATGTCCGTCTCCTCCATAGTGATATTGTCCATTATACCATTTGCCACATAATGTTGCCACGCCTTCCAGGTATATGTGCAAGCGGGGTATATTAAGGAGGACCTCCGTAGCTGCAGTTGGTGTAGTATAAAAGGCACCACTTATCAACAAACAAGCTTCTCCTCTGTATTGCGCTCAGTTTGGCTTGGACAGTTCTTTGTGCTGCCTTGCCCTACCAAGCTACAGATCCATTGGTTATCATAGGTCTAATGACCATGGTCTAAAGCCAAAACATTTGTTTAGGCTTCATTCCCCAGTTCTTTCCCCAGACCCTTCGGCAGTTCCATAGCTAGATCCTTGCCTTCTTTATGACTGCTTCCAGATGCGAATTCCAGTTTAGTGTTTTATCTAAGATTATTCCTAGATATTTCGCATCTTTTGCAAACGGTACATTTTCACCTTGGATTGTTGGAGGTTCAATCCCATCCAGTTTTCTCTTTCTGGTGAAGGGTACGATGACCCAAGGTAGATAAAAACCTCCACATGTAGAGTGTTCCACAATCTGGATAACCTGGAGAGAAAGGAGCTGTCGTATCGGCCAATTCTGGACCTAGGAAGTTTGATAGTATTAGGATGGGAAGCCAATGTTAGGCGGGTCTGTCTGGCAGGCAAATACGGCCACGTCACCATGAAGTATGATCGTCGATGGGTCTCCGGTGCGAAAGACTCCCGAGGCTGTCCGCTAGTGAAGAGTCAGCAGTCAGTCGGGTAGCCCTCCTTTGAACAGCATCAAGGACGGATAATGCAGTCGGGGTGGCAGCACCCTAAACATGTGAGCAATACCCGATGATAGGTCTTATCTGGTCCTTGTGCATAGTGAGGAGTACCTGTGCAGAATAGCTCTAAACAAATAGCCTAGCACAGCCGAAATTAACGTTTCTTTGGGAGAAGTTGGCCATCCATCGAAACTGGATGGATGCTTTTTGTTAGTCAAGGTACAGTACTGTGTTTTGGAAACATTAAACTGTACAAGATTGTTGCGTCCCTAAGCAGTGACAACCTCCAGGTGTCGCTGATAGTCATCTTTTCTCCAGCTTACCAGCAGAGATTAGCTTGTCATTCTGAATTCCTGCATATAGAGTGCTGTCGTCAGCAAAGCTGTGGATTTGATCGATCGTACACGAAAGGAGGCGTTGATATGTCGGAGCCGAGGGAAATTAACGATTATTATTATCATTAAAATTTCCCAATTTCAACGCCACTGGTGTAGAGTCAGGCATCAAGATCATTGCATGTTTTGGCTATGTTATTAAAACTACAAGTACAAAATTTTAAGTCAATACGTTTTTCTAACGTATAATTTTTTTTCGATATCGAAACCATACTACATCTCGGATATTTTAGGATTCATGTTTTTATAACCTTTCCGTGCTATCGTTTGTTCTAATGTAAGCACTGGAAATATTGCACTGTCTTGTGAATCACCTCGGGTATGATGAAATATTTTTCTGCCCAGTTACGGCTCTGGCACTCAGGATGTACTCTTTAATCAATACTGTGTCAATTAGTTAAAATGGCATCTCATTCTTTCGACTTATGACATTGTCACATATTCGTTAGGGATGGCTATAAGAACAATTCAGTAAAAGTGTATAAAAGTATAAAGGCCATTAAAATCACAATCAAAATTTAGGCTATGATCAGTTTTGTCTAATCCTCTGCGTAAAAAACCCTCAAGTTGATTTTATACAATTCGATAAAATTTACTCATGCGTTTTTAACCATTTGCCACAGTATACACAGTATTCTTCTTCTTACGTACCTAAGTTCGTTCATGGTAGTTATCGCTTCACCTCAATACCTATATCCGTTTCCGTTTCCTCCACCATTCCCTGGAGGTATGTAAGTATTTCCACCTCCACCATTCCCTGCAGGTGGGTAACCATTGCCATTTCCACCATTTCCTGCAGGTGGGTAACCATTGCCATTTCCACCTCCACCATTCCCTGCAGGTGGGTAACCATTTCCATCACCGCCATTTCCTGCTGCAGCCGCCTCGTCCAACGCCTTCTGGATCTCTGGTGGGATGGGCGGGGGTGTGGGCAGATGGTCGCCTACTGGCACGAAACCGTTCTCGTCGGCCGTGTATTCCACCTGAAATTAGAAGATTTAAACGTTAATCTTAATGGACAAACGGGCAAGTGGTTTTGAACGGTCTAGTTAATTTTGCACCGTCGCTGGCTCTAGTGTTATGAGTCGTTAAAGTTCCAACAAATATCAGTTCTCCGTAGAAGTAGATTCTGGTGATAGATGGTGCTTTGCACTGTCTTTTTTCGATTGACCTTGACGGAGATAGAGGATAGTTGCGATGCTTCCGTTCGTTGTCCCAGAGACGAGAGACAAAGTCTAGACCATGCTGATGAGTAGCCAAGAAGCACGAAACAGCTGTCCAACGGGCTGTATTTTTTTTGGACGGACGAAAACATCATGTTTAGCTTATCCAATCGCAAGTAGACCACAACTACTGTACAGCTAGAATCGTCAGGCATCTAGCGCTCACATGGTGACTGGGCTATTAAACGCGAACTGAGATCTTTACAGTTAGCGCTCTCCGCTCTCAAGAGTGGTGATAGATAGCACTTTGCGATGTCTTATTTCTATGAAGGGTATATATCAAAACATCGGACAAAAACTCAGGGTGCCATTCTTTGGTCTATTGCGTCATTTGACGATTAATGAAATATCCGTTCTAGTGGATAGGTCTCTGGAAGACGTTATTGAAAGTTAGTTACTGAACAACTTTGGAATGGCACCATAATAACGTTAACAACATTTTACCCAAACTCACAGGACGATGTTCATAGAAAAAAATGGACTTCTTTAGATCGTCAGGGAGAGGTCAGCGGCAACGCAGCGTAGCTCCTTTTTACATTGGAGAATAAAATGTACGTTTGACATAAATTAAACAACAACAAAATAAGATGTCCTGATTGATCTGATGAAAAATTTCATCTATAGATTTTTTGGGTCACTAATTACAAATTCATTGAAAACAATATATTTTTCAAAATCACGAAAATAGTGTATCTGAATCAGTAAATTACTATCTTTCAAAATGGCGAACTGTCGAGCTGCCAAAGTTAGGCATTTTGTACATCGAGTACCTTATAACTCAACAACTACTCAATGGTATGTTCGACCAATATTTTCTTTTGAAAGGATTTATCCAAATGTGCAACAGCTTATGAGACATTCCATTGACAAAATGGAAAAACTTTGTCAACTTTACGTAGAATTTTCCATATTTCATTACATATTTGGATAGACCCTTGATATGTATAGATAACTGATATAACATATCCTTTTGATAATTATTTCTTGAGTTAATGACTATTTACATGTACAAAGCTGCTTCGAAATGAGTTGTCACGAGACATTCAATTCTATTTAAAAAATATTCCAAGGTGGCGGCCAGCCGTCATTTTAAAATTTTTATCTGGAACTTTTACTATAAAAGGTATCACTGTGAATATCAGCTTGCTAACTTGACCCGTTCAAAAAATAATTGGGTGAGGCTTTTTGAAAACACTGAACATGATGTAAAAGTACTGAGTAGTACCGTTGCTAGTCTGCCCCTTCTGATACCAAATTGCTAATTGTTTTGCATAGACATAGATCATATCAAGCCAAATTCCCGTTCTGTCAAGGTTCCGTTGAATCGTATCGTTCATAAGTGGCTTATCGAGAAATAATTTCCAATCGTGTTCTGTGTCTCCGAAACGAACTCGTATTTAGTCTGAAGACAAGGGATTCTAAGAATATGTCAAACATCGCGATTTTCACTTTTTTCAATGGAGCAGGCTGAAATCCCGTCCACATCTGTGTAGATGTGTGAGAAACAATGGGAAATAGAGATTACAATTACACTCACTCTTCCGATAAGGAAATATTGCTTCAAACCTCAATCGAAATGTTAAGAAGAAGATACACTAACAAGCTGACCTACATCTTACTTTCGTCTTGGAACGCACTTCCATTCAAGGATTTGGATTACGAGTTTTGTGGAGAAAATGGAGTTAGACTTTATCTGCAGACTTCTAGCAAAATACAAACCCAATTGATCCATAACTAAAAAGAAATATTTAGTAGCTACCTTTATTTCGGTTCCATCAGGTGCCGTGTACGAAAAAGATCCTACTGCTGACTGGATGCCTTCTTCACCGCCTGGTTTCAGCTCTCCTTCTTCTTGTGCTTTAATTCCATTACCCGTTTCATAACTAGAAACAAAATAACGAGATAAGTACCAAATAATGTAAAGAAAATTTTTAAGATTAGCTCGCTCTGAGAAATAAGGTTTATTTTTTGTGCCTAAGTAAGCCTTCTTATGGCTCATTATTCCGAATCGTTGTAATAACGAAACAACTTTGTTTGACCTTAGTGGTCATACTTAGATAGAATCACTATCAACATCTGCAAATAACGATACAAACTTTTCTGTAAAGCATTACAGTAAATTATGACATTGCAGTAGAAAGAAATATCAACGTTCGAAGCCCTGATCGCAGTTTAAAATATCGTGTTGCCAAAAAATATTACATCGGAATCAAGAGTTTTGGAAAAAGGCAGTTTTGATTCTTACTGCGATTTTGTATGGTCAAATATCGCCAAAGAATTGGAAGTTCTAAAAAAGTTGACAATATACCAACTTGGTTAAAAAAAGTTACAATTAATGAAAAAAAAAATATATTTTCATAAACAAGCAATTATTCAGCTTAACTTAACTTAACTTAACTTAAAGTTAATAAAGATTGAAAATTTTTTTAGGGATTTTCAAATAAAAGCGTAATACATCCTTTTCCCTTGCTGTTAAAATTTATGTCGACTTTATTTCAAAACTTGGAACGAAGGAACTTCATTATCTTTCAAAGATTCGGAAATGTAAAACGGCATATTTTCAAGGTTTATTTTTAAATTTTGATTCGTCTTATTATCAGCTAACTGAAGGCTTGTTTATAAAAATTAGTTTTTTCTCTGAAATGATAAAATTAAGTTTTCCTGTTATCCGAAAACATGTAACAGATATAATACACTAAAGTCTGGAGAATGGATATTTTCCGAACGTAAGGAAAGAATCGCTTATCATTCCAGTCCCAAAATTGGTTTCACAAATCTTACAGTGGTCTAAGACCAATCAGTTTACTCCTTGTTTTATCAAACTTACTTGAAAATACTTATTTAAGTATCAATGATCTACTTTCATATCAACAATCTGGATTCAGTGAGGCCTATAGCCCAACGACAGCCCTTCTATCGACAAATGATGATCATTACTGCTTTGGATAAAGGTTATGCTACACTTTTATTTCTTCTTAATTTTTCAATGAATTCGACACCACTAGGTAAATACGAACTCTTATTATCAAAATAGAATTATTTAGGACCTTCCAAGAAGACTTTTTTTCGGAACTATTTAACTGGTAGGCGTCAAAAAGTTTCATTAGGCGACAAAATGTCATCGCTTGAGCTAATAAAATCTGGCGTACCACAAGGTTCTATTTTAGGGCCACTACTATTCATATTTTATATCTCGAATTTGACCACAGCCGACGATACCCAAATGCGTCTATCATGTCACCCAAATAATCATGAAAATGATATCTCACTCTTATAAACAAGGAAACAGTGTATAATTATTCAAAGGACAAAATGCTCTCAAATTGATTTTATTCAGCCCAAAAACGAAATCCAATTTGTTGAAGGAAAACATGCAAATTTGTATCAACAAATCACAGTTGAATTTCTCAGACCGTGTTAACCTCGGTGTGTTCTTATATGAAACACCTCGCGCTTATAGTTAAAAACTGCCATTTATGATGTATCGTTATAATAATAGGAATAAACTTGGACTCTTGTATATCTTGCACACATCACATTGATGTTTTATTTCCAAAACTGCTGTGATTATATCATATTCATTTATACAATCATGACACTAGAGGAAAAAGTAAGAAAGCAATTTCACGACACCATATTGAAATAACTCAAAGTCTTGAACTCAAACTGTTTAACTCGCAACCTAAATATGTGACTGAACTACAAGTGAATTCCTTTAGAAGGCAATTGAAATTTAAATAAAATAGCCCGCTATAGTATCGAGGAATTTATCGCCTCATTAAAAAGCCAATCGGTATTTTAGGCCAAAATTGTTGTGATTATCAATTTATTTTTATCTAATGTCTTTTATTATTTTTTACCCTGTTTGTTTCAATATCTGGTATGTAAATTTCGTATTTCACCGCTGATACTCGTATGTACTTATACGGTGTATCAGATATGTATGTCTTTATATAAGCATTTTTGTTTATATACTACTAAGCTAATATTGACGTGCCAATAATGTTTGTTCATTAACTGGTTAAAGTAAGTCTATATATTTGACTAAAGCCGTTCATTATATTGTCCTTCAGTTCAACAGATGAGTTGTGCGATTTTACGTTACCTCCACTTGTAGCTTCCGTCTCCATTATTTACATTTTCATAAGAGATAATTGGAATGTCTGCTCCACCGCCTCCGCCATTTCCGCCTCCACCTCCACCACCACCGCCGCCGCCGCCGCCTCCGTTACCTCCGTTACCTCCTCCTGAAAACAAAAACACATCTAACTTTAGAACTGTAAAATAATGCAAGATTCAAACAAGGATTGATTGTCTCTACGATTCCAAAAGGGGATCCAGGGCGTAAAATAGGACTTTATGGCGTGCGGCGTAAAATTAGAGCTCAAGGTGCGAAGTCAAGCGCTCATTACACCCGAGATATACCGGGTGCTTCAAATTCGACCCCCACCATTGGGATCTCGGAAACGGTAGGAAATACGAAGTGGCTTAGTTGGGTATTTGGGTGACTTACAAAATGTCGCTTAGAAAGTTTTGATATTCAAAGTACTTCCGGAGAGAGACCGAAAAAAGATTTTTTTCCTCTACAAGATGATACAATTAGAATTTCAATATAACGTTTCGACTCTTGTCATCCAGCATCAACTTTATTTTTTCTAATAGGCAGCATAAATAAGTAGAGTCTTTAGTTCTGATTCTAAACATATCTAATATGTCATCATTAGAAATTTCCAAAGCTTTGTTATTTCAAAGAAATTGAATTTCTTAGATAGGCTTTGAAATTATCAGATAGACATTTGCTTGGTACATCGGATTTATTGGAAAATCGTTGTTTACTTCCTGGTCTTATTCTTTACACGAGGGTATAGTCAAATTCTCAATTAGACGGTTCTGCTTTCGATATTAATGCTTAGCGTTGTCAACTTCAGATATTTTGATAAAGTAATATTATTCTTAAATGTACGAGTATTATACAAATATTTGTTAATCTCAGCCGTATATCCAATATTGAAGGAGGTTCAGTTTCGTACACCTTTTGTTTCAAATAGCCCCATAAAAAAAGTCTTCTTGCTGGAATACAATATCAATACCGAATTCATTAGGATTCGCTTCGACGATTCCGGTGATTAGAGGGTCAATAGTATTTTCCAGCATATCCAAAGACAGTTCCCCGGTTAGAGTTTGTTCGATGAATAGAGGCCCTACAATATGATTTCCCAATATCCCAGCCCAAACGTTAATTTTTTGTGGATATTGAGTATGAATTTCCCGGAAGACGTGACGATTGGTATCACTCCAATAACGACAATTTTGTCTATGGACAATACCTTGGAGAGAAAATGTACATTCATCACAAAAACAAATATTTTGGATATAGGTAGGATGCCATGCAATGGTTTCCGTCAGTCTCGCAGAATTCTGTTCTTCGATCAGGGTCATCTTCATTTAGCTGATGTACAATTTGAATTTTGTATGAGTGATACTTATTCTTTTTCAAAAGTCTCCATTCAGTAGAAGGACAAACCTCACATACATTCGCGATGGAGGAAGTAGACTGCTGGGGATTTACTATGATCTCACCAATAATTTGAATTTGCTTTTCTTCCGGGATGGTCGGATGACCTGGGGGCTTTTCGTTGTTTACACTACCAGTAGCTGTAAATTTAGATACAAGTCCCCTTAAAAATTTTCTACAGATAGAACGATTCGAGAAAAGATCATTAAAAACCCTTTCGGTCTCGTGAAAGTTACGCGACGCACCATAAATAAAAATCGCTTCGATTTTTTCTTCCAGTGGACAAGAATTGACCATTTTAAAAATAGTACAAACAGTATCTAGCACTAAAGCCGAAAACTAAATAAGAATATTTTAACTGTACAATGATGTTTGTTATCGTACTGATATTCTTGTCACTGTCAATAAAAAATAACAAAACAAGTTTTTATCGCTGTTGCTGTGGATACGTCAGGGAATTACAATTATTTGTAGAGATATGCATGTTAGTAGGTTTGTGTTCAAGTAATTATTAAATGAACCATCATTTTGTAGTACGTAAAGGTATTGATTTTATATTCTAGGGTTATAAAGTACTCGTCAGGAGCTTCAAAATGGTGTACCACAAGACCCCCGTATTCATAAAAAAAATTCTAAGATGCGCCCAGCGGCCATCTTGACATTTTCATCTGTCAATTTTACTATAAAATAGGATATCCACGCATCAATTTCATTACCTCAAGTTTTAATTTTTTGAATTAATCCGTTCAAAAAATCAAAGGGGAGGGGGACATTAAAGAAAAGCACTGTATAGCGTCCATCTGGAAAAACAAAGTTGGTCATGGAAGTCGAAATAAAAAACCTTGAACTGAGATTTGGAACATACCATCTTGTAGAGGAGAAAAGGGATGAAATTTATTTCAAAAGAATGAAAATGATTTTGTGATAACCAGGCCCACCTAGGAAATTCTGTTTTTTGAAATAACTACGGCTTGACAATGTGTATTACACATTATACATTTTTGGAATCAGAATTTAAAACTCTATTTATTTGTGCCAATATGGCGTCCATAAGAAAAAATAAGGTTGATTCAGTTGAATAGATGAAATGTTAGATTGAAATTCTGATTATGACATCTTGTAGATGAGAAAAAGTGGCAATGTTAATCTGCAATTTATTTTCAAATTCCACTACAAATAAAGTTAAGAAGAAGCTTAAATAATTTTGTAAATATTCGGTACTTTCCGTCTCTCTTCGAAAGTACTTTGAATTTTGTAACTTTCTAAGCGAAATTTTGTTAGTTACCTAAATACGCAACTTTGTCCCCATTTAGGCGATTATGTATCCCTTATCGTTACCGATATCCCAATGAAGCATTTGGTATTTACCTACTATGTACTCCAATATCATTTATAAGGACCAGCACGTGTTCATATTATTTTGACGTGGAATAAAGGAGGTTTGAATACGGTATAACAACAAATAAATATGGACAATTGTTGCGGTCGATAAGCATAGGTCAATTTAAAAATAAGTCGTGAGAACCACTAAGGATATCACGCTGCCCCGGATCATCGCTAACTGAGATTATCTTATTGTAAAAGCCATATTATATGGAGCATTGAAGTAACACCAAATGAATTTTTATATACATGTATACCTCAAAAATTATTGCATGGCGAAGTGGACAACTTTATGGAAAATTAACATTATTTTCGATGGTTAATACGATAAAGTTGAAAAGGGTATGCTTTCAATTGAAAAAGGATGACCTAGTTTTTTTAAATCTAATTTTCACTCTTTTTTCTATCAACATGTACTATTTGTTATCCAAATCCGTAATAACTTCTACAAAATCATATGGCAAAAATATTCTATTTAAAATGGGCTTTCTACTTTCTACTATCAACCCAGATTCCATTACTGTCTTACGTCAACGTTTTATCTTCTTTATTTAGATTTTTTTTCAGGTCTTTATCTAAAGCATTTCTATGACTCCATTATTTTACTTTGCTTAACCTTTTCTTTTAGAAAATCCGTTCAGACAGAGTAGCCATATTTACTCCCGCATCTCTGCTTTTTCACACTAAAAAAAGGCCTGTTTGGCATACCTAAACCAACCATTTTAGCGACAAATCCATGAACCCGGAAGAAACAGTACACAGGCGTTTCTGCCCATGTTAAACCCAACTATAACAACTTCTAATTCGCTAACGATGCCTAAGCATCCGCATAACTTAACGTCCCAACAATTTAACCACCTGTCATTGATACCATTTTCATCCCATTAGGTTGCACTGAGTAATGAACAAATGAACACAAAAGCCTCGTTAAATAGCTGCTTAATGTCTCTCGCCCATCTCGCCGAGCGTTGTCTTTGTCATCGCAATGGCGCTTTCGTAACGAGACCATCTCTGCACAGATCATCTGGCTCAACCTATCACGCTCTACATTCACAAGCTGGATCGTATTCTCTTCCTTGTGGTTTATTGTCGTGCTACCACCGGTCAGGGCCGGGTTGATAAACGGTCGTGATGCGTCTGAAACGCGAGCACATACACTCATTTGCATTATGGTATTTCACAGAACGACTACACTAAGGTTCAAAATAAACGAAACAAGCAGAACTTGGGCCAACTTTGGAACGACATAACTTTTTGATCTTTTTATTGACTTTTTTCGGCAGGTGGTAGGTAGGCAAACTCATTGGCTTTGATGTGTTAAATGTTCCAATCCAATATTAGTTCATTGCATATGGAAACATTAGTCTTTGTAACTATTTTTTTTTGTTTAAGCTATTTGTCTATTTCTTGACACTGTGATATTTATATAACTGATCATGTCGTTTTATATAATGTACTGCTATTTGTCATTTGTTTGTCTGGGCGGTCCGTAGGACCTTTGCCCATTAGTCACTGTCTAATGTACGTTGGTCGAATCTGTCAGCCTGGTTGCCCAGAAACCAAAAAATGTCAAGGAAAAGGAGAAAGTTTTTTGGTACAATAAATTAATTTCAATCAGCCGCCGTTTCCGCCTACTCTAGTACTTCTTCCACCGCATTCTGCAACCCATGGTGAACCAGATCACCAGTACCTACACGACTGGGCAACAAGTTCAGTGTCGTCAGCATAGAGGTAGACTTCACAGCAAATAAAGAATTGGTTCTAGGATAGAACCCTGAGGAATGCCGGCCCGTACTGGCCGTGTTGTTGACAAAATAAATATTGTTAATTTTGATCCGGAACTTCCTTCCTTCAAGAAAGGATTTGAGTAATTTTAGAAGCCAAAACTTGAGATTTCGTACTTTACAGCTTGAAAAAACCTTGGTCTCAATGTACTAGGTGTCCTTTGTTGATTGGTTAACCATATCGGCATATTCGTTCATTTTTCCCTTCAATACACAGTGGGTAATTTTGTCATTTTTTTATCTCGGTCAAGACAGTCTAAAATCTTAATTGGAAATGACCTACGTCTCGCTTGATGGATAAAAAGTATTTTACATCAAATTTAGTGTGTAAAAAATGATATCGCGAATGGGTTGGCTGAAGAATCTCGCAAGACTATGACTAATGAAAAATTGAAAAATCATTAATAAAACAAAATAATAATAATATTGTAACACCCTGTACAGTTTGAGTTCTGAGTCGTTATATAGTAGGTACGTATTTCAACTCGTAATGTTTATGTCTATGATCGTATCGTTCTAATAAAAGTGGTGAAAAGGTATTTTTATGTGACTTGGATGAAATTTGAATGGATTCTAATGATGAAGCGCTCAAAAATTGTTGATTGAAGATAGCTTTTCGTAGAGAAAAGAACTTTCAGTACAATGGACTAACTAAATCATCACTTGTTATAAAGAAGTGACTGCTTTGGATAATAGATACACTAAAGGATTTACAATTTCTTGTACTAAAAATGCAGTAAGTAGATAATGTTGAAATTCATTTGTAAAGTTACTTAATTCCAATTATTTCTCGGGATACACAAAAAAATGGTATTTTTCCATTTTTTTTTTCATTTTACTTTTATCTAACTAATCGAAGTCTCGCTAAGAATTTCTTAGCCAACCAACTAGCGATATATTTTTTAACATACTAAATTTGATACAAACTATTTTCCATCCATTAAACTTACTACTTCTTATCTCACTAGTGTCGCCAAAACATCAAATAATATGCTAAATATTGATAATGAGAAATGACTGCAATAACAATTTTTTATACCAAAGGACCTACTAGCAAAAACACATTTAAAAAACACAACAGTTCGATCAACCGGAGCACTTTCGCTCATTTTCAAAATAATTCTTACAGGATAGATGTGACGAGGGCAGCTTATAAGGATTTTTACAGGACATTGCTGTTTTTAGAGATATGTATTGAAAAATCTCACTAATTGGTTATATTCTATAGATAATTTTTCTAAGGTTTGAATTTCTCGTACGTGAAAGATTCTTAAATATTTCCCATCGACAACATCACTCATCCATATTCCATGTACAATGCAATGTCATTCACGTCTTACGAGCGCGAAATGTGATCAAATTGCAGATAAGCGCAGTAATTCACATTTACCTATATTATATCTGTGAAATCTATAAGAATCCATGCGTTCACATTATTATATTATGGCATTGATTAACATATACTACCCATATACTGTACCGCGGCATCCAAAAAAGCGTCTGCAAGGTACTAGCGCCATCTATGGGACAGAACACAAAAATGAATTTAGAAATCCAAAGTTAGAGTATTTACTTCCGCTACAGTCTCATGGATGACGCTAAGATTCTTAATCCCATATTTAGTGCCTCTCTTTAGCTATTTTAGTTGAGTATTTTCAAGCATTACGTATTCCACCTGAAAATATCGGGAATCAAGATTTTAGATATACCAGCAGAACCAAACAATCGAATTTTCAAAGTAGATTTACTTAATTCACTTTTATGTTCTGCTACTGCCTATGGATGACGCTAGTATCTTACGGATCCTCTTTTGGACTCCGCAATACAGTATATGGCTGGCTGTCTTCACATAGAGTACATTAATTAGTGATTACTGTGACATCTGGCATTTTGGCAACGTGGAAGCGTTCTACAGTTAGTCCGACAGTTACCAGTAGCGAGCGTTTTTGCCATTTTGTCGCTCTAGATGAACAAAGCTACCAGTTACGATCGATCCTTAAAAACCGTCAACTTTGTATGCCAGACGGCGAACGGTTGTAAAAAAAACCATATGCAGCTATTGCACCAGACATAATGATGGTTATAGTAAGCTCTGTAAACTATATGATTAAGTTTGCCATAAGCCGTATTAAAAAAGCTAAACAATCCAAATGCGTATGTAAGAGACCGGATTTAAATCTGTCATGGTAAAACAAACTAATATGGCATGCCTTGTGATGGTGCAGCCAGCATTCTTGAAATACCGTCATGTCCATGCATTGATCTTGAAATACATAACCATAGCCAGTAACCACATTTATAGCACACGTTAATGAGTATCTAAGCTAAGTGTAATTATTGAGTAATAAGAATGGTGTGTTGTTTGAACGTTTTAATGTATTGTGCGTTCAGTTTGGTAGATCCTACATTTAACTGATCCTAATTAGTGTTTAGTATGTGTATTTTGAAAACGTCGGTCATTCACCAAGTGTAAATATTATTATCGAGCTGGGTACTTTATTCATGGAAAAATCTATGTGCCTCTGATATGAGTTGCACATTATACAGCTTCCAGAAGTGTAATCCTGAATTACTTTCGTGTAATAAAAATGCTAATATACGTATACATCTGACATCGTAGCTAATTGCGCTACTAGTTTTATGTATTGAGACGCAGCGAGAACCTGGCATTTGTGGGAGAAATTTTCCAACTCAATGTTTTCATATTCACGGTTGTTGGATGCCCCTTAGCATGAACCGTGATATTGCCGGACGGTAACTCGGTGCAAATTTGTTTAAGCAATTTTCTTTTGAATAAATTAAAAAAATGCTCCAAAAATATGGAATATTGCACACACTCGAGAGACGCGTGCGTGTCTAGTATGTTATTGATAATTGAATAGCAATTATTTGAACTAAACTAAGCCTAAAATACTCTACCGCTTCTTGTAGGGGGAAGCTGGACCCCTAATTCAGACCCTTGGCAATCTTGGAAATAATAATTTGAAACTGAGTTCTTACTGAGGCACTATGCAGCGACAGGTATACGCGGCTACCATGTTGGTTTCAACCGCAGGCATTGCCAATATAACGACCTAGCTGGACTGACAAATGATTGCCTCTTGCGGTCTCCTCCAATGCTTGTAAATAACATGACGAACGAGTATACCTCCTTACTATAGGGCCCTATTTTAATGTAGGAACATTGGTCAATTTTAAGGTTCATCAGGCTTGTACCGCTAAACGTCCAACGTTAGAAAATATTTGCTAGGAAGCTTTTTCGTTCGAAAAAAAAATCTAAAAAAGCTTTGGCTGGAACGGAAAAAGATTTTGTAGTAGTATGTTCAAAAAATGTGTTTATTCCACCCTGCAACCTCTTGATTCATGTTAAGGGCATTCAAGAAAAGTAATTATGAAAAATAAATCGAGTAAAAAAGTTTCTCCCACGAGAACTTTTTGTTTCGTCTGATAGTCAACGGAGTTATTTTTTTTTACTAGAACATACAAAAAGTAAAATATTGGTTATCAAAACTGACGGTCATATTTATGGAGATGGAACGGAAAGTATTGCATAAGTACAAAATGGTACAATCGAAAAGCGTGTATATTAATCCCGCTATAAATATAAATAAACAAATGTGTGGGATGTGCTTGTGGATAATGGAAGTGTAGTGAGACAGTGGCAACAGTTCATCATATATTTATTTGTAACATAGTGACCCGAGGAACTTCACAGATCCTGATACAACCCTCTTCATACTTGTAGGCAGGCGCATCAACCAATTTTGACATCAAAAGATTAGGACAATAATTTTTGAAAAGTATAGAAGGAACAGCAGAGTTCACAGTTTCGACTTTGATTGTTATTAGGACTCCGGAAAGATTACATTTACATTAAGTCTATATCTTTTGCGATTCAATTAGTTGTAAAACTTGCCGAAACTCTGGAGATCAATGCTTTACATCGAGACACAGCCCCATGTAGCAGGAAATACCCGTCATACGTTGACAAGAGATTTAAATCCTGCAAGTTATACTTCACTCAAATAAGGTAGCAACTACGTTTAAATGTTGATCATTAATTGCGAGAAACGATTTTCTGATCCCTTTTACTCCTGATGAGCTGTCGTGAGATTTTAATGAACCCTCTCCCCTTCAGTAGTGACAGGTACGTTTTTGCAGAATTCCCAGTTGAACTATAAATGCATTTGATTCATATTGAAAACATAATTTGCTTCATTATTTTTACTTAAATTTAATAAAAGTATATTTATTCAGACTCTATGACCAAGTTTCTTGAAATTTCGCATTTTTTCTAGCGGGTACTCTACTCGATCCCCCCTCCCCTGCCCCTGAGCAGCCCACGTTGTATGTTGTGTTATGTATAATCTGCTGAATTTGGCATTCGTTAACATGGCGTCTCATAGAATATTAAATGTAAAACTATTTATGAAACATTTATACTTGAAATCTTGACACTTCTCCAGCTGATTTTGCGTTTTTTGCCTTTTGACCTTCACAGATAAATGATAGAAATCTGGATTAAATCGAATGAGAAGAATGCGTCAATAAAAACCTATAACGCCTGAAAAGAATGTTTTTGTCACAAATTTGAATCTGGTGATCTAGATATGCAATGCAAATGTGTTGTTTTTATGAAGCGTTTTTCATTAATGATTTTAGTTAGCCAAATTTTTGCCAAAATATGTATATGTATTTGCTAAAAACTAATTTTGCTAAAAAAAACGACACGTTTCTTAATGACGAAACTTTACTGGAACTACGCTTATATGAACTTTTCTTCATCAAATCACATTTTGAAGTTAGGTTAGCTATTGCCACTGTACGTGTACTGTAGTTTAAATACTGAGTGTACTGTATAAACTTCCATCCGCCCTTAGCACATGCTGTTAGTTACCAACCGGGTCTTCGACCAGGACCAGGGCCGAAACCCGCGCCACCGCCTCCACCTCCTCCACCTGCGAAGGGTGCTTTCAAGCCTGGACCACCCCCTGCGGTCTTAGCCCCACCTGGTGGCAAGTAGGTGCTGTCCAACCTCGCCGCTGAACTTAATCCTATCAGGGCTGCTGTCACTAACTGGAACAAAAAGGGAAAACTTATTTTATCAACTGTTAACCTACTACAGAGACATATGATAATAATCTTTATTGTCCACACTACAAGCAGATAATTGGAAAGGACATTTTTTAGAACAATGAACTCTAAATAGAATATTAAAACGCACGTTATCTGACAAAGTGACAGTATGGATGACTTCATTTAATCATAGATCCTTTTTTAGGCAAAATGTCTTATTTAGGGCATCAGGCCTATCTTAGTGAGGATCATAGTGTTAAGTTTTCTGTTTAGGGGACACAATGTTGTCAAAGTCGGTAAATAAGTATGCATGAATATGTGGTCTAAATCGTATAGGGTATTTTGTCTAAATTGGTAACTTTATTCCAGTACTTTGTTTCCATGTTAATTGTTCTGGGCATAGATGCCTTTTACTTTAAATGCGTATTTGGAGCGTATCATCTACAGGTCTTGTGGAGGGGAATTATAACATCTTGGTCCTAGGTAAGGAGACTATCTGAGCATTATAGCTTTTGTTTTGTTTTGGAACCTTTAAATAATTCCTGTTTCTTGTTTGGTGGGAATATCTTGGCTCTTGGTTGCAAGGATATGTGTTGCACTATTAGTAGGTGTAATTGTCTTATATCTAATATACCAGTTTCTTTATGGATATGGTCAGTTAGATTCATTAGGGGATTTATGAGATATTGTCTTTAGAATACTTTTTTGAGTTATTTCTAATTTAGATATATGAGTTGTGGCTACTGCTCTTCACGCTATTATACCATAATTTATATGAGATTCTACTAATGCGTGGTATGATATATTTAATTAACAATATGTTTCATATTCTATATAGAACGGATTGCAACTTTTTCGCGACATACGTTATATGCATATCCCACCTGAAGCGTGCGTCTCTGTAAATATTTTAAGCTATTTACTTTGTTTGTTTTAAATTTGTTGTCTTAAATGTTTTTTATTGTCAGACGATCGTGAGATGGCACACTTTTGGCATAAAGCGTGAAAGGAATAAAATTAGTTTTTTCAAAATGTATTGCTAATAATTCACTATCAAACCAGTCTTTGATTTTACAAAGATCACCTTGTGCTATGTTTCTCAGATATGTCCAATTTTATACAGAATTCAAAATTTGAGTAAGCACAGATACATTTCCTGGAGTAGCAGTAGAATATATAGTATTTTAGAAACAATTGCTACACAAATGGTGGAAAATAAAGACTTTTTTATTTTGTCTGCGAAAGAGTGTTTTTGTCTTTGCTCAACGACTCTCAGGAAGTTGAAAATATAGAAAAACGAAAAGTTTGGAGACGACTTATTACCGTTTTGCCGTACCGAATTAAATTGTCTTAAAATTTGTCTCAATTTTGTAGTTTTTACACATTTGATGCGAAGCTTATGTACTCCTGATTGAATCATGATAATGTGTAAGTATTTGTCAACGAGGTGTCACACCATAAGTTTTGTCCCTCAGATCTTCCTAAAAAGGTTGGCACAACCCTAGTTTGTGGTGTCTACGATCATTCACCATTTTTAATATATGTCTCGTAAGAACTTGGTGACAGCATGCACCATTTTTGTTACTTGGGGGCCGGCATACTATACTAAGTGACATATAAACCCGAACACCCAGTTTAAATGGTTTTATTTTAATAAAAGTTGGTGAATGTATTTATCTTACTGTAAATAACAAGTGAAAAATTTTTCACCCATAAGAGTTGGACATTCCGGTTTTTATACTGCTTTCTCTTAATTCACTAACGCTCTAAAAATGAATGTCAGAACGTTGGCGGATTTTGGTTCTTGACATCCTTTAGGATCGGTTACGATGCCTAGAGTACGGAAACCTGTACGATTTCGTCAACTTAGTGAGTTTGATAGGGGCCGTATAGTGGGACTTCGGGAAGCTGGACTTTCTTTTCGGGCAATTGCTGTTAGAGTGCAAAGAAGTGTAGACACTGTGGTTAGGTGTTGTCAGGCATGGCTTCGAGAAGGCCGTACGCAAAGAGCAAGGGGCACTGGACGCCGCCGTAGAACAACAGACCGCGAAGATCGCCGCCTAAGATTATTGGACTTAAGGGACCGTTTCTCCACTACCAGGTCCATTGCAAATGAATGGTTTGCAGAACACGGAACCTATTGGCATGCGAAGTGTTTATCGACGAATGAGAAGTTTTGGCTTGTTTTCATACCGGCCACACTGGGTCCTCTCTTTAACTCGAGAACACCGACGTAATCGCCTTGAGTGGTGCAGACAACGGTCACTCTGGGATCAGGATTGGAACAGTATTGTCTTTAGTGACGAGTCTCGATTTTATTTAGGCATGCACGATGGTCGTGCCAGTGTTAGAAGGCGACGTGGTGAAAGGAGGAATCCATAGTTTTCTGTTGAAAGACATGTTCATCACACTGTTGGAGTTATGGTTTGGGGTGCTATAGCTTATGGTTCCAGGTCACCTTTAATCTTTATCAGAGGTAACATGAACGCGCAGCGTTATATCCACGAAGTTCTAGAACCCCATCTTTTACCCTATCTTGACACCCTGGCAGATCCAACTTTCCAACAAGATAAAGCCCGACCACATGTTGCAAGAGTCACAATAGACTTCTTTCAACATAATGATGTCACATTGTTACCATGGCCACCAAGATCTCCCGACTTATCCCCAATTGAGCACGTGTGGGATATGATGGGTAGGAGATTGCTCAATTTGCAACGTCCTCCTCAGACTCTAGAAGCACTTCGAGAGGAGTTGGTGGTTGCCTGGAATGAGATACCACAGGAGGACATTAACCACCTGATCAGAAGCATGCCTAGGCGCGTTGAAGAATGCGTAGCACATCAGGGTGCATCCACACATTATTAAAGGTCAAAGGGCTTTAAAGCAGTGCAATCATTTTGAAATTTTTATGATTTACTTATTATGCTTCATTAAGTACTTATACAAAATTTTATTAAAATAAAACCATTTAAACTGGGTGTTCGGATTTATATGTCACTTAGTATATTAAAACTTGAACCTGACCACCCGGAAAGCTTTATTATAGAAGACAAAGTAGAAGTTTATCAAAGGTATTGCTGATAAACTACAATATTTTGTGAGTAATATGGGGTTACCAGCAAAAAAGTGTAAATATTACCACATCTCTGTTTTTTATGGTGTGAAACCCCTGAATCCTACAGGCTATCTAAAATGTCTCAATATGCAGCTATCATCTCAACGTGATGGAACCGAAACAGACATCCACACCAGAGACAAAATAAAGTAATTATCTACTAGAAATGATTTTATACATAGTTGAATAACCATCAATTTTTTAGCTTCATACGCCTGCTTTGACTGTTGGCGACTCTAAACATAATAATTCTCTATTGATATACCTAACAAAGTTCAACTTAAGAGAAAAAATATCAGTCATAATGATAAATTATAATCAAAGCCTAAAAGACAGATCAGTAATGATAGCTTTTGTAAGCAAGCTGATTATATTAGAATCTATAGAAGATGAAGCTATGTGAGCATAACTGGTGTAAACTCCTACGCACATATTTCAGAGAGTCAGTAGAAAAAATTAAACTATGGTATTTTCAACCTCTTTCTCTTATTTGAGAAATTGGGGAAGCATATAGAAGCGATAAAATTAAAATAATATAAATTAGAATTGCAGAGCAACTGCTATGACACTTGACTAAAACTACTGATTAAGATATTTTCTATGGTGCAATATGTCAATAAATGTCATAACCTATCCACTAAAAAGTTTGTTTGTATAGCCGTCATGACTTCATTTCTTATATACCATCAATCCACTGAACCTGTAAGATTAATATGTCTAAAAAAACCCAACATACCAGAACATCACAAACAGATTAGCTCAAGCGCATAACAAGAATGATTGAAGTACTGGGATTGATCGCAAGCTTCCAAAATCTCTATGCCTTATAGGCCGACAAATGAAACTTCATAAATGTAGAATCGAAATAATTGCGTGCGTTTCAGCCACCTTAGTGGGCTGTTTCAAAATACAAAATGACACTGAAAATATATATTCCCTTAAACCCCTAAGGACAAAAATGTGGTATACAGTGGAATCATCTATACTCTGTAGAAGGACGTGTTCAAAATTATACTAAGCTAGTCGGATGTTGCTCACAACATGAAATTTCCTAGATAACACTCATATCCGTTTTGAACTTAGTTTAAGATAATCGTATGATTCTCAAGCTTGCCTTAGATGATTCAATTTTTTTGTATTTTAGCCTTTCTAGCGTATAATAATAATAATAATATTTATTTACTCTAAAATACAGGGAACATGAAACGAGTAAATAAATATAATATATCCATAGGAGGACAACGCCTGTGCATGGATCATATGTATTGATATGAATTGCAAAATATAATAAAATAGAGAGAAAAAAGAAATTATTGGTAAGAATGGTAGAACTTTTATTGTGTAATATTTGAGATTATTTTATTAATTTGATTTCTCCCAATCATGTTAATAAATTTTTTTAATTTTTTTTTTGAAGCCTAATGTATTGCGTAATTGTTTTAAATTATTTGGTAAATGTTCGTACAATTTTGGAGCTATATACAGGTGACATCGTTTCATTAGGGATTTGTTTGGTTTAGGAACATTTTTTGCGCGTAATTTATATCAAGCTAGTCGGATGTTGCTCACAAAATGAAATTTCCTAGATAACACTCATATCCGTTTTGAACTTAGTTTAAGATAATCGTATGATTCTCAAGCTTGCCTTAGATGATTCAATTTTTTTGTATTTTAGCCTTTTTAGCGTATAATAATAATAATAATATTTATTTACTCTAAAATATAGGGAACATGAAACAAGTAAATAAATATAATATATCCATAGGAGGACAACGCCTGTGCATGGATCATATGTATGTTGAATTGCAAAATATAATAAAATAGAGAGAAAAAAGAAATTATTGGTAAGAATGGTAGAGCATTTATTGTGTAATATTTGAGATTATTTTATTAATTTGATTTCTCCCAATCGTGTTAATAAATTTTTTTAATTTTTTTTTGAAGCCTAATGTATTGCGTAATTGTTTTAAATTATTTGATAAATGTTCGTACAATTTTGGAGCTATATACAGGTGACATCGTTTCATTAGGGATTTGTTTGGTTTAGGAACATTTTATGCGCGTAATTTATATCTGGTTTTATGATTATGTTTAATTATGTCGTGTTCACTAATAGTTTTGTGATAATGAGTGATGGTATGTAAGAAGTAAAGTTGTTTAGTATCATATACTTGTGCATCATTATATAAGTCATTAGTTGGGTATAATTTTGATTTGCCTAACATTGATTTTAAAATTCTTCTTTGAAGTACATCTAAATCGTTAAAGTATGTCGTGCATGCAGCACCCCACACTACTATACCATATGTTATATGTGGCTCGACTAAAGCTTGATATATTATTCGTAGATAATATTCAGTTAATATACCGGTTAGAAATTTTATTTTATATGCTATGAATCTAATTTTCTTTAGTATGTGAGAAATATGTACATCCCATCTCAAGTGGGGATCTAGATAAATTCCTAAATATTTTGTATCATTGACTCTATTGATTTTTATATTTTTATCATTTACCTTAAACCGAAGGTGGTTATATTTTGGTAGATGATTAGATAGTGATGAAAATGGTAAAAAATGAGTTTTAGTAAAGTTAATTGTTAATTTTCGGTTATTAAACCACTGAATAATTTTGCAAAAGTCATTTTGGATAATATCTTTTAAGTCGTTCCAATCCTTACCTTTATAGAGTATAGCAATATCGTCTGCAAAACTGACTATTTTACCAGTACTGTTAATTTTGAATATATCGTTTAAATAAATATTGATTAACAGAGGACCCAAAATTGTACCTTGTGGAACACCATTAACAAACATCTCTTTACTATACGAGCTTAATAATTTTACTGATTGCGGTCTATTTGATAAATAATTTTCCATTAAAGTATACATCTTTCCACGAAAACCTATTCTTTCTAAGATTTCCAAAAGTATATTGTGGTTAACTGTGTCAAATGCTTTTTGTAAGTCCACAAATACTCATATCGATGGTACTTTTCCATCTATATTTTGGGTTATTTCATCTACTATACTTAATACCCCATCTGTTGTAGATTTGCCCGCTATAAAACCATATTGATTTGAATTTAGAATTTTGAATTTATTAAGAAAATTAATCATTTTATTAAGGAGTAATTTCTCAAAAACTTTAGCTAAACTTGATATGGTACTTGAAATCGCAAAATGTACGTATATTTCTTGACTCGGACTCATTTACTGCTATAAATATATCAATAATAATGAGAAACCACATAAACACCGAGTAGCTATAGCAAGTCACCGATCGCACACGCACATTTGGTAAAATGTTGAGAACTAGTAAAATGGTAGGAGTACTTTTTAGGGTACAATTGAAGATTTTCCTACAGACCAGGCTTTTTCCATTTTTCTTGTCGGAATTGTCGGAAAAAATCAAAAAGCTGAGTACTCACCAGCCCAATACTACACATGTTTGCAGTCTGAGGTAACAATGAGACGTAAACTGGCATCAGTTAAGGATGATCGGGTTTATATATGGTTGAATAGTTGAATCTACTTGAATGTGTCTCACCCCACTTTGGATGTCAGGATAACAAACCATAACAAACGGACAAACCAGATCGCGAGGATGCACCAACGATTCAGCCCGATGCACCGAGACGCATCATCACCTTTCACACATGACGACAATTGCACCGGAATCCACATATCTCGAGTGCACTTTGTGTCGCGCAGTGACGAATTCGTCTGCGTAAGTAGATTGATTATTCCGAAAATTTTATTTGATGCTATTTCATGGCGAAACGCTGTGTTGAGTTCGGTGCAATATTCGATTCACCACGACCATCATTTGTTGACGAATGACAATTCCCGAAGTTATTAATACTTCTTTGCAAATTCAAATCAGGAGAACGGTGCATCTACAGGTAGGTTCGACCAAAGTTCTTCTTTGTTTGTAACAATAATACGCAAGCAATAGTTTTTAATATTCGGAGAGAGAAAAGGGCTTATATAGAATACATTCTCACTGGGAAGAACAGTGTAGCAATACATTTCCTTAGGGCACTTAGTACGAGCCCCATCCCACTTCAGTTGGCCCAACTATTGATATCTTAGTTTTTCTCTTATCAAACACAAATAATAAAAAATTGCAAAAAAACGTTTCAGGTTTCAACAGACAACAAAACTAACTGTCAACTAATTGACGTTTAACCTTATTCTGCTTTCAATTTCAAACATATTTGCAGGCACAGCCTACTTCTGAAAATTATCGAAATTCTGACTTTTTAACGTTATTTTATCATAAATAATTAAAAATGCATCGAACCTTAAAAATCGAAATATCTCAAAAACGGCTAACTATAACGAAAATTCACAAGAGAGCTTTTTTATGTTAAAAACTGCGAAGAATCATTTTTTTCATTAAAAAAAACAATAAATTGCACTAAGAAAAAATGTTCGGTCATTTTAATACACTACAGGTACAGTAGAGAGCGGCTACAGTAAAACTATGCCCATGGTTCGTTTTGTCGTACCAAGGAACCCTTGTATACCAATTTTCACTGTTATACATCAAATATTGTTCGAAATATTTAAAAAAAAACTACCCTGTATATGGATTTCGTTGACAGCTTGTAAAATGTTTCTGCCGCGATTTTCATTTTCAATATTGTTTCCGCTTCTAGGTTTTTCGAAGGCCCCATGGTGTCTTAAATTAACAACTATTTTTATAAATTGGGTTTTATGAGTCTGCCGTCATTCTGGATACATCTCCAAGTACCTTGCTGAGGTAATGTCGACGTTTCTATGTGACTGCAAGTACAGCGCTAACATATCAAACTTTTCTTCATTTAAGTAGGAAATACCGGCCGTTTTCAACAGGTTTTGATAATTTTTTTTGTCAGATTTATGACTTTAATGAGAGAAAACGTACCTACTACTTACTAAATCACATTTTAAAAGTTTTAATTATTTAACGTCAAACGATGAAAAAAATGCCTTACTGATTGATTTTATTTTCTAAAAAATAAATCATGGCCTCCTTAGAAAATAATTAATACATAACATTACGTGTGATGATATTTCGATGATACTCCAATCTTTTATGCACTTGTGAGACATCGCTAGGTTGGAAATTTCACGCTTTTTCAAAAATCGAAAGATCCAACATGGCGACAATAAGAAAAATGAAAGTTGAGGCAGGTTGCGGGAAAACAAAAGACGATTGAGACATGTCATACAAGCTACATAGCAAGGTTATTTGTCTTAAAAAAATGTCCGAATAATGTCACATTTTGACAGCTGTCAAATTAACCGTTTCGGATTTACTGGCAAAAACCTAAATTCGACGTTTTCTGTTTTTCGCCGATATTTACAATTGACAGATCGTGAATCTGGAACCGGGTATCGAATGCGCAAAGTTTCCTCTGAAAATTTTCCCATTTAACAACAAGGAAAGGAAATATGTTAATGACAATTACAATCTAAAGCTGTCTACAAAAAATCGTTTAGTTACAACGCTATTAAATTATATAACGACCTGCCTGTTGCGTTCCAAAATTACACATTATTGAAGTTTAAAAAGAAGCTTAAAGTAATACTGCACACCGAGGTCTGCCAACGAATACAAAATACTTCGAAATATGGACTATTCTTGCAATTGTTCATATTTTTGGGTTCTTAATAATTAATCAATAACGTGCATACATTTATATTAGTTCGTATTATACCCTTTTATTTTTTTGTCTCAAAGGTTAAGTTAAAAAACGTCAGTCTTTGCCTTTTTGTACTTTTGTACGAAATAAACCCCATTTATTATTGTTTTTTCTTTATCTTTTCTGTCTCCCTTTTGCGGTTCATATTTTCTACTCTAGTAAAGAGTAAAAGGTATACAAACACACAGATAGGTGCATATCAGAGTACATTTGGCTAATATTTTTGCTCTTAGTAACTTCTCATTACGTTCCTTGCAAGTATTAAGAATAGCAAAATTTTGTATCATAGCAATCAGCGATTGCTTTAGGTTCACGAGGGATTTTTAGGCTGAGGGGAATTGTGCCAGAAGCAATATTTCTACTTGTGCTTGTGGTCTTTGAGGTTCTGACCTAGATCGATTCGAAGTTTGTGTTGGTGACAGTCGCAGTAGAGTTATTCGCAAAAAAAATGAAGCATTCCATGTTGACTATCTGAAGAGAAAAGTGAAATTTCCAGCATCCATTATGGTCTGGGGCAGTATGTCATCAAAAGGAGTAGGAAAACTTCATTTTATTGACGGAAATGTGGATACAAACAAATATTTGGCAATTTTAGAAGAATCGCGTTTACCAGTGATGGAAGAATGTTTGACATCCGGCCAAGATTTTGTGTTTCAGCAAAAAGCTGCAGCGTGCCATACCTCAAAAAAGGCTATAAAATGGATGGAAGAAAATAATGTCAGATGTTTCTTAACTTCGCGCATTTATTCGCACATTGTTTATTTGTTTAGATGTTCAATTAGTTATAGGTCTAAGTGATTTCAAATATGTATTTTTTATGAGTAGAGTGTATCTAAAATGTTTTTGAGAAAATAAATTGTTTTAGAAGTAAATAGTTTCATCATGTCTAGTTTATAAAGGCATATTTTGGTACAAATCTTGAAGTGGGCCAACTGAAGTGGGAAGGGGCTCGTACTACTAGAGTTTTGATGAGATTTTGACTCAAGGTGAGGGATTTGAGATATATATGACCGGCACGGGTATTACCTATCTTGAAAAGTGACATTTCTTCGGGTTTTTTTGACATTATTCGTAGGTTTTTTTGACATTTCAACAAGTTTTTCCTCAAGATGTTAGCTTTGCACAAGCTGTTGTGATCTCGTTTTGTACGTGTTGCTTAAACCTCGGCGATCAGCGATCATAGCATGTAGACATGGAATGAACTATTTGCACACTAGAAACTACCCAGTCTGCAAGATCGTCGTTTTTTACGTTTTTACGTTTTTTTGTTTTTTTACGGGCAGCATATATTGCCCGTTTAGACGTTCCATAACTCGTTTTCTAAGAAAGATTTGCGAACCGCTTTTAGTTTAGCAACGGCTATCACAATAGGCGAGTGCAGAAATATACTAAGTGACATAAATCCGAACACCCAGTTTAAATGGTTTTATTTTAATAAAAGTTGGTGAATGTATTTATCTTACTGTAAATAACAAGTGAAACAATTTTCAGCCTTATCAGTTGGACATTCCGGTTTTTATACTGCTTTTTTTTTATTCACTAACGCTCTAAAAATGAATATTTCAGCCGCAGTAAAGAATCAACGTTGGCGGATTTTAGTTCTTGACATCCTTTACGATCGGTTACGATGCCTAGAGTACGGAGACCTGTACGATTTCGTCAACTTAGTGAGTTTGATAGGGGCGGTATAGTGGGACTTCGGGAAGCTGGACCTTCTCTTCGGGCAATTGCAGTTAGAGTGCAAAGAAGTGGTTAGGTGTTGTCAGGCATGGCTTCGAGAAGGCCGTACGCAAAGAGCAAGGGGCACTGGACGCCGCCGTAGAACAACAGACCGTGAAGATCGCCGCCTAAGATTATTGGCCTTAAGGGACCGTTTCTCCACTACCAGGTCCATTACAAATGAATGGTTTGCAGAACACGGAAGACCTATTGGCATGCGAAGTGTTTACCGACGAATGAGAAGTTTTGGCTTGTTTTCATACCGGCCACACTGGGTCCTCCCTTTAACTCGAGAACACCGACGTAATCGCCTTGAGTGGTGCAGACAACGGTCACTCTGGGATCAGGAATCGAACAGTATTGTCTTTAGTGACGAGTCTCGATTTTGTTTAGGCATGCACGATGGTCGTGCCAGGGTTAGAAGGCGACGTGGTGAAAGGAGGAATCCACAGTTTTTTGTTGAAAGACATGTTCATCACACTGTTGGAGTTATGGTTTGGGGTGCTATAGCTTATGGTTTCAGGTCAGCTTTAATCTTCATCAGAGGTAACATGAACGCGCAGCGTTATATCCACGAAATTCTAGAACCCCATCTTTTACCCTATCTTGACACCCTGACAGATCCAACTTTCCAACAAGATAATGCCCGACCACATGTTGCAAGAGTCACAATAGACTTCTTTCAACATAATGATGTCACATTGTTACCATGGCCACCAAGATCTCCCGACTTATCCCCAATTGAGCACGTGTGGGATATGATGGGTAGGAGATTGCTCAATTTGCAACGTCCTCCTCAGACTCTAGAAGCACTTCGAGAGGAGTTGGTGGTTGCCTGGAATGAGATACCACAAGAGGACATTGACCACCTGATCAGAAGTATGCCTAGGCGCGTTGGAGAATGCGTAGCACATCAGGGTGCATCCACATATTATTAAAAGTCAAAGGGCTTTAAAGCAGTGCAATCATTTTGAAATTTTTATCATTTACTTATTATGCTTCATTAAGTACTTATACAAAATTTTATTAAAATAAAACCATTTAAACTGGGTGTTCGGATTTATATGTCACTTAGTATACTATAACTAATAGACTAACTGTTTGTCTCACATGCAAGTGTTTTTTATTTCACTGTGATGAAAGACGACTTGAAATTAAATGGCGCCTGTAATAAGATGATGGAAATACTTGTACGTCAACTTTGACACTTAGCTAGTTAGCAGTGGAGCGGTTTTGCAA